TTCGGTCCATTTGGCCAGGAGGTTCGTAATGGTACTATGTCCTCTCTCTACGGGAGCATTTGCCTGGGGGTGCGCGGCCGTGGTGTAGTTGGCTGCCACACCATATCTTGCTAACAGTTCTTGCACCTCCTGGCAGGTAAACTCTGATCCCCTGTCCATTACGAATTCCCTGACGAAAGGATAACGCAGGTAGTACTCCTCGATGCAGCTCACCAGGACTGACCCGGTCTTTGTGTGAATAGCTCGCCCGTCTACGAACCCAGACAGGTTATCGCGCGCATCAAAGATATAGTTATAGCCCTGATCCCCAAGTGGCATAAAAAGCAGATCGAGATGCACTACGGCCCCTACCTCTCGCTCTAACCTTGGATGCAGCGGCTCTCCCTGCCTTAAACGGGATCTCTCCTGGCAGGGTACGCAAGATCGACAAAATTTCCCGATCATGTCCATCATTCCATCCCAGTAGTACAACTCACTTATCTTGGTATACGTGGCTTGTACCCCTCGATGCCCTCCTGCAATGTCATCGTGTAGTGCTGCTACGACGTCGATCTGACGATTCCTACCGCAGACGACCCTTCTGGGATTCCCCACTTCCCTTCTCACGAAAAGGTGACCGTCTCGCACTAAGTAGCGTTGCAGCATCCTTTGAGCCCTATCGCTCGCATCTCTTAGCCGCATTTCACATGACAGAAGAAGCCCCAGCTCTAGGTAGATCCCGTCGTACTCCTCTGCACGAAAAGCCTCCTTAATTTCCCCTTCTTCGAACTCGTCGTCCTGGCTCTCGGGTATTTCGTCCACATTCCCTGCCGGGTTCAACGAGTCTGACTGGTCTAGGCTTTCCTGCAATAACGTATTGACGAGGAGACAGGTCCTCATGCCGTTCTACCTGGCCAGGTCCTTCCTCAATCGTCCTCATATCCTCCACAAGGCTATGCGAGCTGGCCAGCGCTAATTCCATCATCCACTGAACATCCTTACCACCCTAGGGATCCTCTTCTTCAAAGGGCTTAAGGACTGACTCATTCCTCCTTTCATACCCCTTCGGCGCTTGCCAGATAGGATAGCCTACACAGCTAGGCACTCGCGACGACCATTTGTTGATATGAAGACGAACATCTTCTTCCTGATCCAGAAATCCATCAACTGGGGGCGTATTCTCCACCGCCTCCCCTTCCTGCTTATCCAAGTTGATCCGACTGCCCGTCCGCCTGGTTCTTACTACCAGGAATCCGTTCCAATTCGAAATTGAACATCCAGATGTACGTCAGCCATCTGGCAATCGTCGGATCCGATGGAACGTAATTCCTTAGAGAGTAGGCCAGGGCGGTCGGATCCACTCTCAAAATAAACCTCCTACCAAAGATATAATTCTGGAAGATTCGCAGACAATGGAGGACAGCAAGGGTCTCCCTCTTGAACTGAGAGTAGTTCCTCTCCGTCGTACAGAGAGTCCKGCTMTCWAATYGCAAGGRTCTTTCCTTCCCTTCCATGTCTGCCTGAATTAGAACTCCCCCTAAGGCAGTCGGTCCCGCATCCGTCTCGACAATGAAGGGTCGCGTCTCTGTGGCGTTATAATCTGGCGCTCCTAACACCAAACCTCCTTCTCGAAATTCCTCCTTCATTTTTGCTACCACCTCTTGTTTCTCACCCCATACCCATTCCTGATCCTAACGGATTAACTTCCTCAGGTGTTCAGTCTTAGCGGCAAAGTTCTTGACGAAGGTCCTCCAAAATCAACACGTACCAAGGAAGCTCCTGACATCAGTTATTGAGTGGAACGGAACTAGCCGCTCAGTAATCTTGTCCGTCTTCTTTACATCCGGCCTTCGGCCCTTCTCATTGCAGACGATCCCCAAGATAGTCGCTTCCCTCATGCAATGTCTGGATTTGGCCCCGCTTGCCGTGAGGTTATGCTCTTCGAGCAGGCTCAGAACCTTTTCGAGGTCCTGGATGTGTTTCCAGACAAAGCGCCTTACCCCTGGTGAGACTTCGTCGCTCTCTTTCA